ACCCCGTTTCCTTCCTAGTCATTTCAAAGTTAAAGTTGCTCAGAGGGTAGTTTTTTCCCCATTTGACACCCTTAGACGGCTCCGCAGGATTGTAGATAAACATATCAACAGACTCCGTGGCTCCTCCAGGGCAGCTTTCAAGTTCTTCTACGCCTGTTACAAATAATAATTGACTTAATTCAATAATTTCAACAATATATCAATTAGATATAAAAGTAATACCTATTGAGGATTTCTTCGACATTTTTATACGTACTCGACTTATTTATCGTTATTGATTATTGGTCGATAACACAAATGAATTGTGAGAGGAAAAATGAAGGTGCGAAAGAATTATTCATATAGTTACCTTCCAGAGGATCAGAAAACTCCGAATCATCCTCTGCTTCTTCTTCAATGGCTGGCCATGTTATTGCAGCTATTTTCACAATTTTTGGGACCCACAGTTGGTCTGACAGGTTTTCATGCACTTGTAGGATATAAGATTCAAAACTGCTTCTGGTGCTGGTGATCATAAAATACAAAAAAAGCACAAAAAATCATGTTTCAAATGGTTTCAGCTTCCAACTCGCGAAGGAACTGGTGCATTCCCAATGGAATTCAAAATAAGTAATGAAACCATTCCGATTAATCTTACGACTATTTTTCAAAGAATCACAATTGCTAAACAATCTGACGAAGAACTCGAAGGAGTTCTCAAAATATGAGCTGTGCCCGAATCCATTGCCTCTTTTTGATGACTATGGAATGAGAAAAGGAACCAAGTCTGCCTTTGTACAAAGCATTTATTACACCAACTGAACAGACAAATCTCCAAGGGTGTGTGTACGTCTTAGATGGAGGATATTTGCTCCACGAGGTGGTGTGGACCAGGGGTCAATGATGTTCATCAATTTGTGGAAGTTATGTGGCATTTGTTGAGTCCAAGTACAAAGACAGTGCTGCAGTCGTATTCGATGGTTACCTTCAAGATGGTACTGAACATGCTGAGCGAACAAGAAGATCACGCAAACAGATATCAGTTGATACATCATGTTTGACGAAACAATGATCGCGACAGTGCCACAAGAAAAATTCCTTGTTAATATGAAGAACAAAATCCGTCGTCTCATTTCAATATTAAAGAACAAATTTTCGGCAGCCTGGATTCACACAAATTAGGCACAAGAGGACGCAGATACACTTATTGTCACCACAGCAATGGATCTCGCACCACAGCATAATTCTGTAGTTATTGTGGGTGAAGATGTAGAATTGTTATGGCGATCATGATTGGTCGTTGTCTGGGTGTACATTCGAATGTATACTTTTTCAAGCCAAGTAGAGGAGCAGTTTCGGAACTCATATTTTCAACTGACTGTGCACCACAGCATGACTATTAGTGCAAAATACAGTTCGTATATGCCATGGGAGGATGTGACACAACCTCGGCCTCGTTCAAAGTTGAGAAAATTCAATTTCCTCCAACCATCGAAAAATCCTGCTTTAATCGTAATTGTTCAAAGTTTCAAAGATCCTACGGCGAATGCTGATACTGTTATCAATGCTGGCATCACCTTTTTTACTGCATTGTATGAAATTAACGAGAAGGAAGATACGTCCATGAACAAATTGGGGTATAAATGCTATACCTCTACCTTAGGTCTGCAAATAGAACAACAGCCCATTTGGCATCCTTACCCCATACCACCGAACAATAAACGTCTCTGTTTATGTTCGGTGCCCATATACGGAAGCTGCAGCATAACAGAGTATAATTTCAAGTGCAACAGGGGCTCGGAAACCACAAAAGATTCCGAGCAATGAGGTTGGAAAAAACCAAGCCAGTACCAACGCTACAGTCACCAGCTCCAGAAGCAGTTTTGAATCTAATATCCTACAAGTGCATGAAAACCTGTTAGACCAACTGTGGGTCCCAAAAATTGTGAAAATAGCTGCAATAACATGGCCAGCCATTGAAGAAGAAGCAGAGGATGATTCGGAGTTTTCTGATCCTCTGGAAGGTAACTACATGAATAATTCTTTCGCACCTTTATTTTTCCTCTCACAATTCATTTGTGTTTTCGACCAATAATCAATAACGATAAATAATAAGTCGAGTAAGTATAAAAATGTCAAAGAAATCCTCAATAGGTATTGCTTCTATATCTAATTGATATATTGTTGAAATTATTGAATTAAGTCAATGATTATTTGTAACAGGCGTAGAAGTACTTGAAAGCTGCCCTGGAGAAGCCACGCGGAGTCTGTGTCTAGGAGGAAAATTTCATTTGACAGTGATATGTTTATTTATTTGGAATAAAAACTATGAATTAGTTGAATTTTTTATTTTTTCCAACAATCACTGATTCCACTAAAACTTCAACACTCTTTTGCATGGAAACCAGATGACATACCAAAAAGTATCATGAGACATGAATTGTAGATAATTTTTTCCTCTTGATTTTACTACTCATTGATTTTTTGTGTGAACGGCTTCCTTTGCGAGTTGAAAGCTGAAAACCATTAAAAAACATAATTTTGTGTGCTCTTTTGGTATTTTCTGATATTTGCCGATGAAAGTTTTGGTGGACAACTTTAGATTCGTGTTTAGCACACCAAGAAATGAAGAATAAGCCAATGAAAACAATTACACCAGAACTTTCCACCCTGATATACCGTTTGATTAGACTAATGGTGGGTCGTTGAAATCAGATCTTCAGGGAGAATTCAAAAATGAAATAAAATATAGGGTGTTCCAATAGAAAAAACGTAGCTTTGATGTGCTGTGACCTTACGGAACACCCTGTGTATTTCAAAGAAAATTTGAAATGTGAAGCTCGGTTTTTACTTCAATTTTGATTCATGCATTTTTTTTTGTATCTCTCAAGACAACAGAGAAATCGAACTCTGGAGTCTTAGTTACAGTTAAACAGCAACTTACAATATAGGAATTGAAATTATAAATTTGATGTATTGGTAAAACGAAAATCCGAGTCAATCCCTATTTTAATAATTATTAGGTCGGATACGGTTCACAGTCCACAGCACACTACGGGTATTACCGTTACGTTGGAAGCTGGCATCGGCCAGCGGAGCTTGGCCGAACCCAGGATATGCCGCGTATACGCAAGAATTTCGACTTCAAGCGGGGGATCCGTATGCGACGCGTCCACTGAGACATGAAACCTCCGATCGGCCGGCCGACTGCAGTTGTAGAGTAATGTAATAAGCTACGCGAGCGTTTCAACTTGAAGCGGCGTTTTGAAGATGGGATTACCAGATATCGTAGGTCCTGAATTAGTTCGTGATTTTCGGTGTATATTCGGATGGCTTACTCAAAGGTTTCAGTGCACGAAATTCAAATAATAGTGGCATAACATAACACTCATAACAGTAGCATACGAATAATGAAAACAGTTTCGAAATAGTTATTTTTGTATCTAGAGCGCGAAATGCTACTTTGGTGATCGAGATCTGATTTTTTTAACGAGGCGTAGCCGAGTAAAAAAAATAGTCGAGATGACCAAAGTATTTCGCGCTCGAGTTGCAAACAACATTTTTTCTACAAACGTCATAAAATATAGTTCTGAAGTAAAAATATGCTTAGCTTGATATCGAAAATAGTGTTGAGCTGGCTTGAAAAGGCCTCCCCCTATCCTCCCTAGGTACGCACGATGTTCCATGAACATAATAGGAATTTCCTTTCGTGCGCTCCAAGAAATAAAACAAAGTTATTGTTGAACATTCAGATATAAATGATTTCGTGGATGTTTGTTCGATTGAGGACCATGAAGTTGAAATATAAATATCTCATATATTTTACATAACAATGCGCGAAGTAGGTACTTCGCGCACTGTTTTACTTCGCGCACTGCTTCGCACATTGTGTCGAGGTAACGTAGGAAACTGAAAAAAAGTGTCACTTCGCAATTTGTTATCAATGCGCGAACCTTGTCATTTTTTGACGTTTGTAGAAAAAATAATTTTATTGATCAAATAATTCAGCAGTTTTCTCCAAATTATTTGGTACGGCCCGGCCGACCCTGCTGCTGTCCCTGACGAGCCGTCACTGATTAATAATGCGTTGTGTTACACCACCACATACTTTTGTCAAGGAGAAAATATTAAGTAAATACTTGTATATTTGCTAGGTGTTCATCATATATATATAGTATGATGCAAATGTATGGAATAAATTCGTCATTTCAGAAATGGGCGACATTTAAAAAAAATCCAAAAACACGTGAGTTCTAATTTTTGAAGCCTCATCTCATGATATTCATATGAGAGATGTCACGTCACCGGTGTTGGAGTAATGACGTAATGGACGTTTTTTTCAAATACAAACAGGGGTCATGTGACACCTCCTTTGAAAGGTCTACTGATGATCGTCTATCCAACAGTCAAAATTTTGCATGAGAAGATTGAAATTAAAATGGATTATCATTTGATTAACTGAATCTAGCAGAGGTCTGCTACTGAGAATTGAACATCGAAGGGTCGTCGTCTTGTCAAAAAAATACATCGAATAAAAAAGTTCTAAACTCTATAGTTTTTGATTTTTTTTCGAAGGTCATCTTGTTTGGAAATGAATTTATTCCATACATTTGCATCATACTGTATATGTTTATTCCACAATAACTGTAATAATTGTTATGTGAATAGGAATCATAATATCTTATTGCAATCATTTTACAGACAGAAAAATATTTTCGAGGTCAGCCACTGTTCATTCGAGATCTTTGGAATTGGAAATTCAGCTGCCAATGGTTTGCCAAGTTCACACCCTGAAAAAAATATCTGGTGCGCCACTGGTTCTTCGGGTAACTTCGGAAATTTTGGCCGCTGGCCAGGGTCTGCCAGTTTCACACCGGTGAACTCATATTACTCTGTAAGTAATATGAGTTCTGTGTTTCACACCGCTTTCCTGTCGCCTGCTTGTCTCTTGTCAGTATGTGATCACGATCACTGATCAGTGATCGATCACTGGTCAGTGTGGTCTGTGGTTGTTTGTTGTTGTTGTTGTTGTTGAGTTGTTTGATATGTCAGAAAAATATAATACAATAATATTATAATATTACAAATTACAATTTCAATATTATTTTCATTTAACGGGGCGAATCGAATGCCCAACTTTAAACAGTGCACAATGTAGTTATTTCTATTTGGAACAGTTTGTCATCAATGAAACAACTACATTAAAAATCCAAAGTGAGTACACCAGAACTTGAGATTTATGTTTGCTGACATTTGAAGAATCCTAATTGCATTTTTCAGTTCGTTATGGAGGATAGTTTGAGTGTTAAATCGAACGAATCAATAGCAACTAGTGAAGAATTCGATTTTGTTGGAGATAAACCAGGTGCAAGCAAAACACCTACACTTGATTTCAAGAACGGTGATTTGAATGAATTAACAAACGCACTCACAGAAGTTTTACAAGAACCAGATAACAATATGAATGCTGTTATTGATCATGGTGCTACAAAAATTGGTCATAGTACCTTTTATGGAAGTCCAGTAGAACTAGGAAAAGACCCTCTGAGCTTGGACGGTTTGTCTCCCACTGAGAAACAGGATCCAATGAAACCTGATGCAAGTTCTGAGGAAGAATACAGTAGTAAGAATTTTTTATTCATAAAAATGTCATTGGGATATCAGGTTCAGTTTGGTTCTTTCATGGCTCTTCTCAGGACCATTCCCAAACCCCTTCAATCTTCCAAAATTTATATAGCTGCACATGAGCTAATTATCCTAGAATAGTGCTGAAAAAACTCCAGAAAACCCAAACATGCAACCAGGGCAATAACTAGGGTAGGGCCTCTGGTAAGGCGAAGGAGGTAACTGCCAAGGGCTCCAGCCTGAAAGGGACACAAAAATAATTGATTAAGTTTGAACGAAAGAATTGCTTTAGAATTCATTGATGATATATTTTATATATTTTCTCCAAGTAATTTTAATTAGTAACAATTCAAACTCTTTGAATTATCCATGAAAATTACTTGTAGAAAATATATCTGAATATTGATATAGCTATACAAATATTTCTCTACATTCCTGTTACTAGTTCTTCATGTGAAAGAAGATTCAGGAAACAAAAACTAGTGAAGAGTTTTTGAAAGTACATACCTATTATTATGGAAATGGTTCCTGCATTTTTTGTGATTAGTTTGATTATTGATTGAGTACCTATATTGATATTCATTCATGTCTTGTATTAATTAATGAATGTTTTTTTACTGTTTTTGAATCTTTTGTGATATAGCAATACAGGGTGTCTCATAATAACGTTCATATATGTCTGAAAATGCTTCATAAGCATCCTTAATAAAATTTTAATTGTCAAGGTCTAATTTTCTCATCATAACAGCTCTATTGCTCGCAATCATCATGAATAATTTTTCTAAATCAAAATGAAAAATGACTCTTCTCCTTGGAAACGGTTCATTTCTCAGCATTGTAACAAGGATACGTTTTTCTTATAAACTTGTTTGTAGTATTATATTTTGGTAGAAGAAATGAAATGAATCATGAATCAATAAAAAACCATTCCCATTTATATAGCATCTGTTATGAGTTTCACACCTCCCTGTATAATAAATCATGATTTCCTTACCACAGTGCAATTTGTAAGATTGAATCACCTTGGTTATCAATTTTCATTATTCTAGGATCAAGGTGAACAAAGATAATTAGAGAAAACTGCCCAGGCTCTAGCAGCCTTCAAAAGCATTGGTGGACATTATGTTGAATATGTGGATCCCAACATTTTTTATTATTACTTCTGAAGAATTACCTCCCGATGTATAGGAACCTTATTCTGACACACCCTGTATTTATCAATATAAGACTTCAGATTTTTGTTAGAGGTGTAAGAATATTCATTCATTCCATTATTTGCTACTATCACAGGTTCCAGTACTTTGAGATCCTGTTCTGAAGGAATTTTTTTTTGCAAAAGTGCCTTACTTTTTATAGGGGAAAACATCTACTGATTCTTGGGCAGTATACAGTTTGTCCACTTTAAGGACTTACCATTTTTATTACCACCCTAACCTTCATCACCACCCTCATTACCACCCTCGTTACCACCCCTGTAAGATCGTTATTATCTAATAAATTTCGAAAAACTTTTTTTTGTTGGATAGGTATTTGAAATGTCCATCCAACAAGAGAGTTATTTTATTTTATTTTATTTTGAAAAGTACTGAGGGATTTTTATTTCAATAAAAATAATGATGGATGTTCGAAAAAACAAATTATTATTTTTTTAAATACATGATTAGAAAATGTATTACTGTGGAAATGGTCCCGACATTAGAAACGAAATTATTCAGATTTGGACTGAAACCATTGCAATCCAAATGTGTTGCATTAATATAATGATTTCAATGATGAATTGAGGTATACACAAATAAAGATGAAAATCTTCAAAATTAAATTAATTCATAGGTTTTGGAAATTCGTTTTCAACATTATTATCGTTTCTGGAAATTTTTTCTTCACAGTATACAGTGTGTCCCATTTACCATGCTCACCATGGGTAACTTTTTAACGGTGAGAGATACGAGGTCGGTTAAATGACACCAAATGTGGAGTTTGTCAAGGCCAACTATAATTTGAAAAAATATTTTGATAAAATCTATTCGTTTTTGTTTTATACGCAAAAAACAGATTTTGATCATTTTCATGCCTCCTCCGTAACTTCTTTATTTATGAAAATATTCAAATAGGAATTTCACATTCTCATGGCAGTTTTTCAAGTGATTTCGAAAAAAATATGAAATTTATACCAACTCTTCTAAAATTTGAGATATCAGCACCAAATTTAGTTTTTCAAATGTAGGTCATAGCTCACTATGACTTAGTTACAAATAACTTTTTTTTCTCTCACAGATGATATATCGCAATAATAGCTTTGTATTGATAACAACGGAGTTATCGTCATTTATACAAAATCAAAAAATTATTCGGAAGCCGCCATCTTGAATTTATAAATTTTAACGAAAAAATCATGATCTCCGACCTCAGCAACCCCCACTTACCAATTTTGAATAAAATCGGATCAAATATTGTCCGCCATCTTGCAGCAGTCATTTTTTTTAATTTCAACAAAAATTCCATAATGTATTGTCACCGAAATTATGAACACCTGGCAAATTTCAAGTTTATCGGAGTTATGGAATTTTTGTTGAAATTAAAAGTAATGGCTGCTCCAAGATGGCGGACAATATTTGATCCGATTCCATTCAAAATTGGTAAGTGGAGGTTTTCGAGGTCGGAGATCATGATTTTCTCGTTAAAATTTATAAATTCAAGATGGCGGCTTCCGAATAATTTTTTGATTTTGTATAAATGACGATAACTCCGTTGTTATCAATACAAAGCTATTACTGCGATATATCATCTGGGAGAGAAAGAAAAGTTATTTGTAACTAAGTCATAGTGAGCTATGACCTACATTTGAAAAACTAAAGTTGGTGCTGATATCTCAAATTCTAGAAGAGTTGGTATAAATTTCATATTTTTTTCGAAATCACTTTGAAAAACTGCCACGAGAATGTGAAATTCCTATTTGAATATTTTCATAAATGAAGAAGTTACGGAGGAGGCATGAAAATGATCAAAATCTGTTTTTTGCGCATAAAACAAAAACGAATAGATTTTATCAAAATATTTTTTCAAATTATAGTTGGCCTCGTATCTCTTACCGTTAAAAAGATACCCATGGTGAGCATGGTAAGTGGGACACACTGTATACGAAAGAGAGAAAACATACCTACACTGATTCAAAATTTGTATCTCAAAACTCACCCTGGAAACTACCCCTGAATAGCTGAAAATTATGTAGAATTATCGTTTCTGTAAATTTCTTAAAATAGAATAGAATATATTTATTTGATCATTTTACAAATTTTGAGATGTTTGTGGCAAGTCATGATATAGGAAGAACTTTAGAATAGTAATATGTAGAATGAGCAGTAATAAAATATTTTACATATTAAAAATTTCACGGACACAGATTCCTTACAGTTTAATATCAAAATTTTAAAAACTATTTTCAAAATTTAACACACAAAGACAAGTATTTTCAATACAAACTATTGTCTCCCTAGCGCTTTACTGGCAGATATACAGGGTGAGTCAGTTTTTTGTAGCAGGACTTTAACAGCTCAAAGGAGACATTTTTTCAAGACGAAAATCTTACATAAACATATATGCCTGTGAGCTTCGTTTTCGATATACAGGGTTTGAAAGTTTGCATTTTTTTTGTATTTTTCATATTTCCTCCTACATTTTTCAGAATAATGGATTGAAATTTGGTGCACCTATCACACTTCGCAAAAGCTATTGAGCGTTCATGAATACCTACAGGATGATACACTTTCGAGGGTCGTACCCGAGTTAACCCTCTCGAACTTTTTTGCGTACCGCCTCTGTTTTCTATGGAACATCAATTCAGATTCTCTTCAATTTGAATACTTCTTGATCTCTTACATTTTTCTGAAAACATCCAATTTATCAAAATCAAAATTGTCATTATCAAAATCATCATTATTTCATAAATTTTACAATTACAATTACAATTTTCACAATTACAATATACAAATTACAATTACAATCTACAAATTTCACACAATATACAATATACAAATACACAATTGAGTATACAATCTATTGTATGCACCTAGGTGTTACAACACCTGTATGTCTTGAGAATATATGAAATGCAATCATAAACATAATTTAACTTAACATAAAACAACTATGTGACTATAATAATTGTTAAAATTTAAAATTATAACTAATATAAATTGAATATTGAAGAATTTTTTACATTTATGGACTATATATTTCCCTGCATAAGCATATAAAGTGTTAATTTATTTACCAACATTGGTAGTTTGATAGTTGTAAAATAACCGAAACACCATGTATGAGTGAAAAATTGGTAGCTATTAGACTAAAAGCTTTGTTCAGAGTGAAAACATCCAAAGTACAAGATCAGCAATTTTAAAAACTACAAAATCTGTATGTAATCTTCTTATAACTACTTTGTGTTCAGTGACCTAGGAAACGAAAAATGAAACAATAAATACCTTTTTTTCTGTGACGGGAAAAAATTTTGGCATTTCATCTCTGTTGGCAGGTTATAAAATGTCACTTTTCATAAATTACTTTTTTCCCGTGAGAAAAAAGTGAGTACTTTCTTCCCGGATATATATCACATATATATACAGTGTTGATTGCTTTTGCTGTGCTATTGTTCCGAAAAATGAGTCAATAATACCGTCTCCGAGAAAGAACTGCAAGTCCTTTTATCTTCCATTCGACTCCGCGGTTACGTATATTACTAAACAACCACTAAATTCGCAATTTTTTTGAAATCAAATCATAGAATTAGACTGACAGAAGTGACATCAGATATTTGATTACTTCAAAAGAATGATAAAGATGCCTACAACCATCTACAACGCAGGTGTCCCTACTGTTAAAAACTTAAAATTTCACGTCGATAATTATCAGATTTCAAAATAATGTAATATCTTCTCAATATTGATTCGTCCTGTCCTCTGTCACCGAAAAAAATAGTGTATTATACACGGGAAAAATATTAGATTTTAGCTCACGGTTTTTTGTCTCCCTCCGCTACACGTCGGGAGACAACACAACCGAAGCTAAAATCTACTACTTTTTTCCCTTGAATAATAAATAACTATATTTATCTTTTGACATTTCGTTCTGCACAAATGAAGCGTACCTAGTTGAAATTGTAATCAAAAGTTAATCTGAAATCTGCCTACTCAATTATTGGTGAATGAAAGGCCTCACATTTCTTCAAATCAAGAACAAGCGGATATTCATTTTGTTTACTTTATGGCTTTGCGAATAGAAATTTAGCAGAGGCAGCCAGGAAACATAGAAGAAGGTATCCACTTAGAAGACACCCTCATCCCAATGGCATAAAAAATAGACACAATCATGAAGAAAATAATGCAAATTTTGTGCAAAATAGAAATGAACGGCGAATTTTACGTGAATTCAATGAGAACCCAGTACGAGAAGGGCTGCGCTTACACTTGGCGTCTCACAAAGCAGGGTATCCCGAGTTTTAAAACGAGATCACAGGCACCCTTACCATTTGCAGCCTGTGCAAGGTTTTCATCCAGGAGACGAAGAACGAAGGATAGATTCTTGTCAATGGAGCCTAACTTCAATTCAGAACGACTGAATGCTGGAATTTTTTTGCAGTTTTTGCAGAGGGAACATGTTAACATATTTGAAGAAATTACATTAGATTTGAGAATGAGGGTGTGGTTTCAACTTGATGGTTGTCCAGCTCATTTTAGAAGAGATGTGAGGAACTGGCTAAATGATAATTTCCCAGACAGGTGGATTGGTCGGCTGGGGCCTCCACGGTCGCCAGATCTGACTCCTTTAGACTTTTTTGTTTGGGGATTTCCGACGGGAAAGTTTACCAAACCTCGGTTCAAACAAGAGGAGAACTGGTTCTTCGAATAAGAAATGCATATAAGGGTTCAACTTTTAATTAGCATAAAACGTTCAATTATTCAACGCCGGTTTGAAATGTGCATAGAACAAAATGGTTCATATTTTGAGCATTCATTGTGAGAGGTTTTATCGAAATTCATTTGTTTTTAATTTCTTTTCTCTGCGTTACGCCAAGTTTGGGCGCAGCCCTTTTCCTACTTGAAGCTGGGTTCTCAATGAATTTACGTATAATTCGCCGTTTATTTCCATTTTGCACAAAATTAACATTGTTTTCCTCATGATTGGGTCTATTTCTTATCCCATTGTTAGCGAATCTTGTGTGTGTTTCAGACAAAACGTTTTGTTAGTCGTTAACTTCAATTAATGAATGTCAAATGAAGTTTTATTGCAAATGAATTATTTTTGGCATTCATTTCGAAATTGATATAGTTTAAAAAAAAATAGAACAGAGCAAAAAGTATCCAAATTGGAGAGATATTCTGAATTAATGATTTATTGAATGCAGAAGCGGCGCACAAAAAAGTTCGGGAGTGTTAAAAGGGTACGACCCCAAAAGTGTATCATCCAGTAAGTATTCAAGAACGCTCGATAGCCTCAAATATTGCGATTCCATAGTGTACTAGGTGTACCATATTTCAATTCATTGTTCTGAAAATTGTAGCAGAAAACTTGAAAAACACAACATCTCAAACTTTGAAACCCTGTATATCGGTATACCGAGTTTCATATTTTTTTCTAGAGAGGTTCTGGAGAAATTTAGAAAAATCTTAACTTTCTTCTTACTTTCGACACCCTGTATCTCAGTGAGGATGCATTTTAGGACATACGTTGATAGGAACTTTTCACCTCAAAATGAGGTGAAGAATCTGTGTACGAAGTTTGTCGGTCTCACCCTGTATAGACGATATTCCAGCACACTCATATTTCTTTTGGGATTATCACATGGATTAACGTGTTCCTCAGTACATTTATTTTATTTTTTCCCAAGTTTCAGATGTTGATCAAGAATGTACCATTTTCTCAGGAGTTACATATCTTGGAGCAGCAGCCATTAATGCTCCGAAGTCTGAGGCTGAAATACAGCGAAATATGACAATATTGAATGAACAAAGTACTGAACAGGGAATAAAAATTTCTGTATCAGTACCCTCATCATCTCAAGGTCTTGTTATGTAAGTAGTGAATATTCATTAATAATTAATAAATACTGTGCAACGCGATACTAAGAGTCTGACTTAAGTTGAAGAATCCTACTATTATCATACAATTATTTGGAGTATTGATATATTTCTGATTCAGAAATCGCTGCAATCAATCAATCAATCGCTAGTAATACCAATCAGACGTACTTTACAAGCCCAGTTAGCACATTCTTTTGTTGTCAACCTCGAAAATTATTCGAACAACTCTTTACCAAAACTCGTTTGTCTACAGAACGACAAAACTTTGGAATTCTTTTCCAAACAAAATATTCCCAAGAAATTAATCTCCACAAGTTGATCAAATTCCAATGCCTAGCTTCTTTCCCTATCCTCCCTAGGTACACACTATATTATAGGGATTCCCTCTCGTGCGCTCCAAGAGATGAGTGCAGACAAAGCTCTCTAGTTTTCAGGGTCAGGCTTGTGTGGAAATCACTGGAGCCATCATTACCACACCGTCAGCTGCTATGGACATTTTTCTATACCTACTTCCTCTCCACATAAACTACTTACCAGATGAAGTGGGACAGCCAAAAAATTGACTAATTTTGATAAGCTATAACTCGAACATTTCTTGGCCGATGTTGGATTTTCAACCGAAGGTAGAACGCTTCATCCTTGGGCTATGCGTCATTGGCGTCGGCTTTTTATTTTTGTTATTCGTTCTCTTTGTACAGAGTGTGAATTAAAAGCCGGCAGGATTTCAAATTTTTGACAAATAATTTGGGAAATGTGAGGGACCCTAGAATTTTTTTTCAGATGTTGAGTGAATGGTTGGTCCGATACCTCGAGACATCTTTGGGATTTTTTTAATAAATTGCGTTGCTATGGAAAAATCGCCATTTTATGATTTTTTTTTTATTTTAAAATGTGGCGTCTTTTTGTTGAACAATAACAGCGAATATCTTAACATGAACGAGGGATATTTCTACTGAAGATAATTAACACCAGTGGCGTGCAAAAAGGGGTTTATGATATTCAGAAACGAAAAATTCGTTTTTATTGAAAACATATTACAGTTTTATCGATCGTTACAGTTGACGAGGTGTCATACCCTCAATTAGCATAATGTTGACGAATTCAGAGGCGTGCAAAAAAGGGGCTCATGATATTTAGAAACGAAAAAAAAAACAGATTCATTGATCGTTACAGTAAAAAAGTTGACATACATTTAATTAGCATGATGTTGACAAATTCAGAGGCGTGCAAAAGTTTATTTTGTAATGTGGACAAATTAAAATTCCAGTCTCATTATCGTTGATTTTTACTTATTCAAGGTGAGCATCCAAGTAACCCATTGGCGTATTAAAGAGGATCCATCATTCAAGGCAATTCAAAAAGTTTGATATGGAAACATTTTTAATAATTTTATCAAGTGTTGTTCTTTGTTCGCCCAGTGAAAATTTCCTTGTATCATTATCAATGAATTAAATTTCAGGAACGTGAGTCTGGCTTCTGATGTTTCTCGAGCCGTACAATTTGATAATCTTGTCGAAAAAAAATTCAAAAAATCTTCAATTTTTGCCCCTCGAAAAATGTTGGTATTTTTTCTCTACTAATTTTCTCGTTTTCTTTCTGATGAAGCATTTTTTTCAAATAAATATTTTCTTTAAATATTTTTTTTGTTTTTACTACTCGGACCCCTAAAAAAAATTCCAGCATGCCCACGATCAAGACATTTTTCACTCGTCATCTCATTCGTCAATGAATTACATGGATGCTAATCTTAAATAAGTGAAAAAAGTAAAAAACATTAACCCTGGCCATGTATGGGCGCAGTATGGTATGGTAGTAGGTAATTTCGTTAAATTATATTTCTATTTCTCTAATTTGTCAACATCATGCTAATTGAAGGTATGACACCTCTTCAACTGTAACGATCAATAAAACTGTTGAATTTTTTCAATGAAAACGAATTTTTCGTTTCTAAATATCATAAACCCCTTTTTGCGCGCCACTGGTGTTGATTATCTTGAGTAGAAATATCTCTTGTTGCAGTCCAGATTTTGGCTGTTATTGTTTCACTAAAAGAGGCCACATTTAAAAATAAAAATGGGATTTCATAAAATGGCAATTTTTCCATAGCAACGCAATTTATCAAGAAAATTCCGAAGACGTCTCAAGGTATCGGATCAACCATTCACCCAACATCTGAAAAAGAATTATAAGGTCCCTCACATTTCCCAAATTATTGGTCAAAGATTTGAAATTTTTCCGGTTCCTAATTCACAGTCTGTACAAAGAGAACGAATCGCAGAAATAAATAGCCGACGCTAATGACACATAGCCCAAGGATGACGCTTTCTACCTCTGGTTCTAAATTCAACTTCGGTCAAGAAATGTTCGAGTTATAGCTTATCAAAATGAGTCAATTTTTTGGCTGTCCCACTTCATCTAGTTATCATTTTATTTCTGAAGAGAGAGGCATATTGCGAATTGCACAAACTTGCAGCACAAACTAGCAGACTACTGATGGAAATTGAAAGTCGCAGCATTCTGGGAATGACCTACGACATAATGCGTCCATTAGCTATCTATGTTGCCTTGGAAAATAATCTTTCAGATGGGGCTGATGTTCCAGGCACAGTGAAATATTTGAAAGCAATATTCTTCAAGATATCATTGGAAACAAACCAATTTTCTGCATGATGATGATGTTTTTAGCTCCACTTTATATCACCTTCCACGTACTGGCGGATCGATATAATAGCATTAGAGCATGGTTTTGAAATTTTCTACATAATTTTGTTCACGCAAATATTGAACAATGGCTATACATTGGGTGAAAAAGCACGGTCGAGTGGAAACTACAATTAAACATTCGATTCTGAATGTAATTCAAACGATCGTTAGTTTTGATAAAACGAAAAACATCTATATCTATTTACTATCGATAATACTATCGATGATTTGCTACCTCTACTGTGCTTGGGCATTCAAACTTCATTATTCATAGAGAGCTCTTGTATTTTGTGTATAATATCATTACAATGAATTCCGGTTTCAGTTTTTCACAAAGCCTCAGTAGGAAACTTGAAATAATTCATTCAAACACAAACACTATACATAATCACGATAACTACGTCTCTTTCTAACCTAACTCTAAAAACAACTTTATCGATTTACTATCTCCTTAGTAAGTTAGTAGTAAGAATTCCATTGGGCTACCTGTCGCAATTTTATAACTGACGAAACCTAGTTCTAGCGTTTTCATTACATTTCGAGATCCTTCGGCAATCTTCCATCTTTCACGCAAACATCCCCGAGTCCATCTCGCAGAAGGTTTTGCGAAACGCTCCAGACTTCAGTTTTCACATTCAAGTAATTGAATCAGTCAGAGAGAATTTTTGAAAGAATCAATTCAACGAGTGGTATCCCGACCGCGATTTCACTAAATATACTGTACGCTAGCACATACCACGCCCACCGTTATATCTCATCTTCAAAGTACTTTACTTTGGCAAAACTCAGAGACTATTTATCCTCAACGAATTAACCTATCCCTGATTGCAATATTTTTGAGGAAGGAAAACCGAATGGAGTGTAGAAACACATTGATTAATAATATATTTCAAAAGTTGAGTTCTTCAACAAAATTGAATAAAATGAGACTGTTTATCCTAAACGCACTAACCTATTTGACTTCAAATATTTTATGAAAAAGGAAAACCAGAATGAAGTAAAAAAACATTGGTGAAAAAAAAAAGTTGCAAAAAAAAGTTCAAGTTCACAGCGATTCGAACCATGGACCTTCAGACTGAAAGTCGACAGCGCTAACCAGTAGACCATTTGGGTGTATGAATTTACTGCGTACCAGAGATTGACAACGAGAGCTTCAGTCGAATTCGTGTCAAAATCATAAAAAGTGTATTCTTGCGTTGGAGCACAGTATATTTAGTGCGATGTGCTGACTCCGAGTATATCGGTAATGTTTGTAGATATGACGTATTATGGTGGGCGTGGTTTGTGCTAGCGTGCAGTATATTTAGTAAAATCGCATCCCGACCAGAGTTCCATAAGATTCCGTTTGATAAATTGAGAAAAGTCCACTAAACCAGTTAGTAACCAAGCTGTACTTCAACATTCTACAGCAAACTATTCTAACAATGTAACTATGACCAGCTTTATAGCGAAATAATTTCAAATAGTGATGACTGGTACCTCCGAAAGAATGAACAACTCGGAGTGTGGTTTTTAAGCAACATAATTCGTTTCTAAAATTCGAAGGAAACATACGATAATCGCGTGAATTTAGTGAAGTTAAACTTGAACCATTCTAGTATCGAAGATCCAACAGGAGAGAATCGAAACATTATATGTTCCGAAGGCATGTAATAATTGTATTGTATCGAACGGCACCTGTGCCAATGACTATCCTGTGCGGTGACTTGCTGGCATACTTCCGTCATGTGATAATGAGTTGGAACAAAAAGCAAATAAAAGGGGACAATCTCTTATTTGCGAATATCCAAACGTGCTGCGACTCAAACTGATCATAGTGACATAGCGTCAATATTTCCGAAAATATTACGCCCCCGTCGAAAGATAATATCCAATGGACCAGTCTGGAACTCATGTGGTGCTCACTCTACAAGTATTCTAATCTTTAGGAAGGGGCGAAATATTCTCTGAAATATTGACGCTCTGCCACTAAGGTCATTTTAAATCGAGGCACGTTTGTATTATGCGATTATGGCACGCAGCGAATTGGGTGTCAACCTCAAGACATATCTTTAGTTTTTTGCAAATATTTTGGGAACCTCTACATTTTGGCATGCAAAATGTTATTACTTCTAGGTTAGGTATTGATAAGACTAACTGATGTCATACACCAATTTGACAATTCAACTGTCTAAGGAAAAATATGGAGGGAAATGTGGCGATATACGACACTAACTACTGGTTGACAAAATTAAGAAATGAAAACTCTATGTGATTACCTTGATTAATCTGGATCGATATACCAAGTT